CTTCTTACCGTCATCAATAGCTGTATTTTATTTTATATTTTAAAACCGTTTCCCATAGCTGTACTTTATTTTATATAGGCTATATCTTCTTACCGTCATCAATAGCTGTATTTTATTTTATATTTTAAAACCGTTTCCCATAGCTGTATTTTATTTTATATAGGCTATATCTTCTTACCGTCATCAATAGCTGTATTTTATTTTATATTTTAAAACCATTTCCCACAGTTGTATTTTATTTTATTTTTTCTTACCGTTTTCCCAAGGTTTTAGGTTTTGTTTAATGTTTTCTTACCGTCTTCACTAGCTCTATTTTGTGTCTCAATTTCAAAACCGTTTCCCCTGACAGTGTTTTATTATTTATTTTACAACCGTATCCTCTGGCTCAATTTTATTTTCCATTTTAGATCTACAAACGTCTCCACTACTAGATGTATTTGTTTTTCTATCTTAAAACCGTCTCCACTAACCGTCTTTTATTTTCTATTTCAAAACCTTTTCCCTTTCCTGTAATTTGTAAAAATATGTTTCAACCGCCTCCACTAGCTTTATTTTATTTTCTATTTTCAAAACGTCTCCACCAGCTGTAGATCAATTTTACTTTCTATTTTCCATCAGAGAAATCCAAACGGGGAATCAGACTTACTCTGCTCACCTCTCTAGCTTCAACAGCACAAAGTCTGCTTCGACTATCAAGTCACCCCAGAAATAGCAGTTCACAAGATAGTGACAAACGTACAAAAGAAGTAGAGGTAAAAATGAGGATAGAAAAAGCAGCAGTTCCCCCTATGTTGTTCCGGCACAGTATGAGCATGACATTGATAAATCAGCCCTTTCACAATTCTACTGTGGACAACAACATGTTAATACCCCCCCCCCCCCTTTGGGAATGGCCGAAAGGACAAAGGTAGGCTACAGTGAGTCTATGAGCGGAAAGAAAAAGGAAAGGGGGGAGAGGGGGGGTTCAGCCGAGATGAATGAATGGACAGCAGTCCAAAATTCCTTTGTGTTCAAAACACCTGCTACAATCAAGAATGTTTTATTTTGTTACGGGAAGTTGCAATACATAAAATAAAAAAGTTAAAAAACAGGGCGTTGGAATCTTTTCTTGGCAACATGAATCTCATGTGGGGCAACATGAATCTCATGTGGGGCAACATGAATCTCATGTGGGGCAACATGAATCTCATGTGGGGCAACATGAATCTCATGTGGGGCAACATGAATCTCATGTGGGGCAACATGAATCTCATGTGGGGCAACATGAATCTCATGTGGGGCAACATGAATCTCATGTGGGGCAACATGAATCTCATGTGGGGCAACATGAATCTCATGTGGGGCAACATGAATCTCATGTGAAACAAAAGCCTATCGTATATGATGGAGGAATGGCCTAACGTATGTTCTCACCAAATTTGGAAAGGATAAAAAAATAAGCAAAAATTATGGGATGCTGCACGCGACAATCAAACCCCTCTGTTTATAGACAGCATTTGAAGTTGAGCAAATAGGCTCTTTAGCACAGTGTGTGCTAGATAGAATTCAGAGTACTTTCCTGGAATCGTCCAGCATTTCTTTGGTATGTGTATCAAAGAAACAAAAATACCTCTCATTGGAAACCAAACTACTTTTGATTGGGAAAGTCGAATTTATTATACATTACTTGCACCGTGCCTGTAATTATCTACACAAAAAGCCTCATATATTGGCCATAAAACACAAAAACTAGGTTTCAACGAAATTGAAGTCCAGTCCCGATGACTTCGTTGAATCGGAGTTGCACTGTAGCCTATATATATATATATATGTATATATGTACATTTGGGGCTTGGACAAACCCCTGCAGAAAGGTCCACATTCAATAAAATAGTCAACGCGCTGTGTGAAAGTAAATCCAAGTTTTTTAATGGTATAAACACATGTGTGCATTAAATAGGACAAGACCAAACACGAGTCGACGTTTTCTCTCGCACTCGTACAGGAAGTACAACAAAGCTCATCCTGTCTACAAAAGAGCACAGAAAGTCAATATTAATTATATTTATTCGCTAAAACAATCGGGCAACAGTCCGGTACACATGACATACGGTGTGAACAATCAGGCAACAGTCCGGTACACATGACATACGGTGTGAACAATCGGGCAACAGTCCGGTACACGTGACATACGATGTGAACACAGCACGGACTGAAAGTCTCGGCACTGGATACCAGTTCCAATTCTTCGAGATAAAACTCGGCGTGACAAAGCAGCTTGCTCGCCCCCTCCACATCTGTGCCCTGACAACGTCCACAGAAAACAAAGACAAAACATTTTCTCTCCAGTGACGGTGAGGAACCTGTCAGTTTAGTTTAGTTTTAGTAGAGGTTTTACGGCGCTCGCAACTGCATAAGGTCATGTGAGCGCCAAGGGGTAGATGTCAACAGAGAAGTCCTTACAGGGAATCTGGCTTACTCTGCTCACCTCTCTAGCTTCAACAGCACAAAGTCTGCTTCGACTATCAAGGCACCCCGGATTTAGCGGGTCACAAGAGTGTGACCAAAATATAAATGAAGTAGAGAAAAAATGATGACAGTAAAGATGAGGAAAGAAAACGCAGCAGCAGCAGTTCCCTGCTGCAGTTCAGACAAAATTATGAGGATGATATTGATGAATCAGCCCATTAATAATTGTACTGTGCATAAGGACATGTTAATATCCCTCCTTTGGGAATGGCCTAGAGACAAGTTCAGTCAGTAGCACTGCCCTGGCAGGCGCAACCTGTCAAGTTTCATCAACACAAGAAATATGACGGAGAAAAACGAGATATGAAATTATTTCGGTTCAGTTTGCTATATATATATATATAACAAATAAAACATTTTTCAATTTAAAAAACTGGAACTGGCCTACCACAGAACACTGCATCTCCCCTCAGCGCTTAACCGCAACAGAGGAGGAAAAAGTAAAGTAAGTAATTAAAATTAAAAAACCAAACGAGCCGTGCTCCGTGACTTGGGTGGTGGGGCTACTGTCGGTGGTCGTGCACAAACGTGCCGCGGGATCACTCCGTCCACCATCAATCTTCCAAGTGCGTTGTTGTACGCCAAAGATCGTACATAACGAGATGGTTCACTCCTCTCTTTCAGCCAATGGAAAAAGTGCCCTCTTCAAAAAAGCGCGGACTTTGCGAACAGAGTTACTCTACTTGGGTGAAAAACAATACAAGCGAAACTAACAAGCTGCGCCATTCCTATTCTTCTTCTCGAGAAACGAAAGAGAGTTTCAAAACAAAGACTGCAGCGCCATCTGAAGCAATGGGCGGACTTCCACGGACACTATTTTGGCTGAGTGAACTATCTTGTTATGTACGATCTTTGTGTTTGCTCAAAGAAATGAGTCGGTCGAATGCGCACCAAACCAAAACTATGTGATTTCTTCAAAACTATTTCCAAAACTTTAAACAACTGGAAGATTTTAAACGGCATCACATTATTTCAAATTACAAATGAAAAATAACACAAAAATACTCAAGCAATAGAAAGGACCAAACTAGTGTTTTCTGCACTCCAACAGTAAAATGATGACAAGCTGTTCCGACTCCTTTCTACCCAGGTACGCCGTGCACGGAGGGAACGACATCCAATGAAAACCAACCAAATTACTGACAAAAAAACCACAATGTCCACAGACCACGCAACAACAGACACAAATTGCATTTGGTGGCCAAAAAAACCCAAAAACCAGTTCACACAAACGCACGAGACACACATCATGATGGACAATAGGCCTACATTTTTCCCCCTTTCCAAAAAAAACCCAAATGCGTTCCCCCCCCCCATCTTGAGTCCTGATCCTCGTCTGCAGCAATCTGCCACACTTTGTCTCTGCTGGGTACCTCTGCCTACCCCGTCCGTAGTTGGGGACTGAGTCATTCCAACACTCACACTCACTTACACACACACACAAACACACACTCACACAAACACACATTCGCACTCACACACACACACAAACACACATTCGCACTCACACACACACACTCACACTCACTGACACACACTCACACAAACACACACTCTCACTTACACTCACACTTTCACACTCATACACACACACACACTCACACACTCACGTTTCCTTCCACGCCTCTAGTTCATTGGCCAGGTAACTATGCCCGCTCCTCACTTTGTATCCTCGACGCCGCACGGTTTCGCTTCGAGTAAAAAAAAAACAACCCCAGTTAATAAGACATTTTCCCATGAGCTGAAGCCATACGGTTGACTTGGACAATAGCCATACAGTTGACTTGGACAAGCACGACTTACTTCTGTAGCCATACGGTTGACTTGGACAAGCACTAGATCTACTTACTTCGGTTACGTTGACTCAAAACTACAACAAAAACTGACCTGGGTACCACAATTATTTGATGACTACGACATTATCTTCTTCATATTATATATATTTATCCGTCACGTACACACAAGAAACTTCCACCATCAGCACCATAGAGTTCAAGCAGCACATTCAATCATCTGTCACCACTTCCAAAATATGTTATGCACATGTTTTTTTTTGTGGGTTTATATTTTAAAAAGAAAAAAAAAAAAGGTGCCACAACTGTTCCTCCAATTCTACGACGAAAACGTCACAGACAAACGTCCCATGAATTCTCAAACCCACAGACAAACGTCCCATGAATTCTCAAACCCACAGGCAAACATCCATGAATTCTCAAACCCACAGACAAACGTCCCATGAATTCTCAAACCCACAGACAAACGTCCCATGAATTCTCAAACCCACAGACAAACGTCCATGAATTCTCAAACCCACAGACAAATAAAAGGACACGTTTCTTCGCTACACATGAGACTAAGCAACAAAGACAAACTCATGTACACATTCCTCCGAAGGCTCGGTGCGTGTCGTCACGAGACCACATGACACAGCGAGCTATCACGCTCCCATCCCCCCCCCCTCAGCATCCGTGTCAGCGGCTCAATACAGCAGCCCATCCGTCCGTCCATCCGTCAATTGGTGTGCATTCAGCTGTGTCACAGCTTGTGTGTGTCGTTGTGACTATTGTGAGTGTGTCACTGTGTGTGTCGTTGCTTGAGTGTCGCTGGCTGCGTGGGTCACAGTGTGTGTCCCTCTGTGTGTGTCGTTGCTTGAGTGTCGCTGCGAGTGAGTCACTGTGTGTGTCGCTGTGTGTGTCGTCGAGCCGTGTCACTGTGTGTGTGATGCTGTGTGTGGCGCAGTGTGTGAATGCTGTGTGTGTCGCTGGCTGCACGAGTCGTCGAGCCGTATCACTGGGAGCGCGCGTGGAGCCGTGTGGTTAGGCCAGGGAGGGGGAGAGGTCCATGGCGGCGTTGTACAGCTGGCCCAGCTCCATCAGGTGCATCTGTTTGTTGCCCGTGGCCGAGGCGGCAGAGGGGAAGCGGCCGGCGTACCTGCCAGACATAGACGTTGGAGTTTTAGTAAGAAGAGTTTTACGGCACTGGCAACACAAAAAGGTCATTTAACTCTATCTGTACGTCGTGTTCTACTGTCGTATCCATACGATGTGGGGAACTCTGTGCCACCACTTTCCAAAGAGGAAATTCACTCGTTAATCTGATTCGTACGTTTTGCATAGCAGTCTGTCAAAATGATTTATTGAGAAATACTGAAAGTTTCAAAGAGATCTTCGTACCAGAAGTATTCTAAAATGTGAAGAACACAACCTCAGGGATACAAAATGACCCCAGGGCGTACGGAGAGGGTCAAACTTTGCAGTCTCACAGCGAGCAGCACAAAACACCCCGTCTGGTCACCCAGCCAGGAGAGACTTCTCGAGCCTGTGACCAGAACGGATCGTTTTCACCGCCACATTATTGCGCCGAGCGACCGCAGAGTGATAAGTGCCGAAGAATAGAGCTGTTACAAGAGAGTAACAAACACAAAAAAGGAGGGGAGATAGAGACCATAGATTTTTCAATAAGAAAGAAGGAACAAACCACACTGAAGCACCCGCCAACCACCTACGGACACAAAAGTTGGCACATATGTTTTTTTGGGGGGGTTTTTTGTTGTTTGTTTTTTTCCTAAGAGTTTTACAGCACTTGCAACACAATATGGTCATATAATTGCCAAAGATTATTAGAGGTGTTACAAGAGAGTAACAAACACAAAAAAGAAGGAGGGGAGATAGAGACGATAAATTTTTCAAAAGGAAAGAAGGAGAAAACTACACCAGAGCACCCGCCAACCACTCACGGCACAAATGTAAGGCAGCGTGGTGAAATCAGGCGCTCGTCAAAATAACGAAATCGCAGAAACAGCCATTTTCCCCGGCACTTTACAACTTTTTATCAAATTTTAATTCTTTGCCTGAACCTCATTCACGTCCATATAAAAACACATTTCCATGTGAATTTTACTGAAAAACATTGATTAAAGGCTCAAAATAAGTAATTTCTCTGTTTTCAAGGACTCTTTAACAATTGGGGAGTTACCAAACTTGGGCGACCAGTGTCTCGCTAATTTAACGCTGAAACCACTTCTTCAAGCGCAAATATCTTGAGTTCTGTTCAAGATAAATGAATATTGGTGAATATTTATTTCATCGGAAGCAAGATTTCAGATGATACCAACAACTCCATATGCCCCAAAAATTGACCAGCGAGTGATTCCAGCGCGTCGTGACACGAAACTAGAAGTAAAAAGCCACAAAGAGGGCGAGGTACCGTGGCCTAACTTACTCTAGCCTCTTGTTGAGCCCCCCCCCTCCCCTCCCCACTTACTCTAGCCTCTTGTTGAGCCCCATCCTGCGGAAGACGGTCTGCACACGCGGTTCCACGTAGAACCAGGCCCCGCTGTTCTTGTGCTCCTCCTGTGCCCAGCAGACGATCACGTTCTTCGGGTACGTCTGCAGCTGTTCCTTCACCAGGTCCATGGGGAAAGGCGTCAGCTGGCACACAGACGACAGATACAGAGGGCACGCGTTAGACACACATACAGATACACACAGAGAGGGCACATGTTAGACACATATACAGATACAGGCACACAGACTGCACACAGAGAGGGCACACGTTAGACACACATACAGATACACGCACACAGACGACAGATACAGAGGGCACACGTTAGACACACACACAGATACACGCACACAGACGACACACAGAGAGGGGCACACGTTAGACACACATACAGACGACACACAGAGAGGGCACACGTTAGACACTCACACACAGAAACGACACACAGACAGGGCACGCACAGACACACACAGAGAGGGCATGCGTTGGATACACACACAGACGACACACACAGAGACGACACACAGATACACACACAGACGACACACAGATACACACACAGACAACACACAGAGAGACGACACACAGATACACACACAGATGACACACAGACAGGGCACACGTTAGACATCTGGTTAACATGCAGCTCTTTTTCTTATTTTAAAAAAAAAAGCAATTTCTTAACAGCCAAAATACAGTCCAACCTGCTCTGACGGACACATGTACAAACTATCACCTGTACAAAACTATCACCAGTACAAAACTATCACCTGTACAAAACAATCACCTGTACAAAACAATCACCTGTACAAAACTATCACCTGTACAAAACTATCACCTGTACAAACTATCCCCTGTACAAACTATCACCTGTACAAACTATCCCCTGTACAAAACTATCACCTGTACAAACTATCACCTGTACAAACTATAACCTGTACAAACTATCCCCTGTACAAACTATCACCTGTACAAACTATCCCCTGTACAAAACTATCACCTGTACAAACTATCACCTGTACAACACAATCACCTGTACAAAAAAAATCACCTGTACAACACAATCACCTGTACAAACTATCACCTGTACAAAACTATCACCTGTACAAACTATCACCTGTACAAACTATAACCTGTACAAACTATCCCCTGTACAAACTATCACCTGTACAAACTATCCCCTGTACAAAACTATCACCTGTACAAACTATCACCTGTACAACACAATCACCTGTACAAAAAAAATCACCTGTACAACACAATCACCTGTACAAACTATCACCTGTACAAAACTATCACCTGTACAAACTATCACCTGTACAACACAATCACCTGTACAAAACAATCACCTGTACAACACAATCACCTGTACAAACTGTCATTTCTCGTTTTTTCCCTTGAGATTTTAAAACCATTATAACGACACTGTGCAAGACATCCAAGGCACCCCGGAAATAGCAGGTCACAAGAGAGTGACAAACACACAAAAGAAGTAGAGGAAAATTGACGATAGTAAGGATGAGGAAAAAAAAATCAGCAGTTCCCCCTATGTTGTTCAGACACAGTATGAGCATGACATTGATAAATCAGCCCATTTACAATTCTACTGTGCATAAGAACATGTTAATATCACCCCTTTGGGGGATGGGAAGACGAGAGGAGTAGGGGAAGAGGGGTGAAGAGGGGAGGGGAAGAGTGGAAGGGGGGGGGGGGTACTTCCGCCCAGCCAATGGTCACCTGTTCAATGCGGCAGATGGCTATCTCCTCGTTGAGCGAGCGCGACTCCCGCTCCTTGACCAGCTCGTAGTAGATCTTGCCGCTGCAGAACACGACCTTCTTGACCCCCGCGGGGTTCTGGGCCGCCACGCCCTGCTCGGGGATGAGTCGCTGGAACTGCGTGCCCTCCACCATGTCGTCGAAGCTGGAGCGAGCCTCGGGCAGACGTAGAAGGGACTTGGGGGTACACACCACCAGCTGCCGCGCAACACACGCACGGGGCAGGAGATGAACATATGGACAGGGACATAGATACATACATGAATAAATTATACATAATACTGATTTTAAAATTAAAAAAACAAATAAATAAAGAGATAAATAATAAATTATACATAATACTTTTAAAAAAATATTTTTAAAAATAAATGAATACATAAATGTATAAATAAATAATAAATTATACCTAATACTTTAAAAAAAATAAAAAATACATTAACGAATTGGTAAATACATAATTAAATAGTAAATTATATATAATACTTTCTGGAAAATAAAAAATTAATTAATTAATAGATAAATAAATAAAATAATACATCATACATAATACTTTTAAAAAAATAACAAATAAATAAACAAATAGATAAATAAAAAAAAAATTATACATAAACTTCTTCAAAATATATATGAAAACCCACAAGACCATTGCACTTCCAGCTACACTGGCTCACGCTGGTCAAAGCTGTATTTATCTCACAGTCGCAGCCGTAGTATCAACAAACTACAACAGACAGAGAAGAGTAACTGCTCACCAATGATGGCTTCCAGCTAGCAAAAGGAAAGAGACAGACAAACACCACTCACGTCCAGCTAGCAAAAGGAAAGAGACAGACAAACACCACTCACTTCCAGCTAGCAAAAGGAAAGAGACAGACAAACACCACTCACGTCCAGCTAGCAAAAGGAAAGAGACAGACAAGGACCACTCACTTCTTTAGTTTTAGTTTTAGTAAGAGTTTTACGGCACTTGCAACACAATAAGGTCATATAACTGCCGAAGATTAGAGGTGTTACAAGAGAGTAACAAACACGAAAAAGAAGGAGGGGAGATAGAGACTATAGATTTTTTATAGGGAAGAAGGAGCAAACCACACCAGAGCACCCGCCAACCACCCACCCACTCTCCTCGAGCTAGCAAAAGGAAAGAGCTCAAACAAATACCTCTCACTTCGATCTAGCAAAAGGAAAGAGGCAGACAAAGACCACTCGCTTCCAGCTAGCAAAAGGAAAGAGCTCAAACAAAGACCACTCACTTCCAGCTAGCAAAAGGAAAGAGCTAAAAAAAACAACAACTCACAGGCTTCCTGAAGGACAGGGCAATCTGCCTCCTCATGGCATGGAAGAAGTTTGCCGGCGTCGTGAAGTTGCACACAAACCAGTTGGTCTCATGCAACTGCTGGATCTCAAAGTTGGGACCTTCAGGCTACAAAAGAAAAAATATAAGTTCACTTTAAGAGTTTTTGGGGGGTTTTAAAAAAAATAATTTTTAGTAAGAGTTTTACGGCACTCGCAACACAATAATAAGGTCATATAAGTGCCGAAGATTAGATGTGTTACAAGAGAGAAACAAACACAAAAAAAGAAAGGAGGTGAGATAAGGATGATAGATGTTTGGTAGGAAAGAAGGAGCAAACCACATCAGAGCATCCGCCAACCACCCACAACCACACCAGAGCACCCTCAAAAAGCAAACAGTAACCAAATTGACAAAAAGTATCAGATGGCTCTCTGCTCCAGACTTGAACGTAAAATTGTCTCAACTTCCGGCACAGCCACTGCTTAGGAAATAAATCAACCAACAATGTCACTGAATTATGTACCACACAACAGTTTCCAACTCCTAACAATACATACTGAAAACAACAACAGCAGCAACAACAATACATCCATCTTTAACAAATAGAAGAAGAAGAGGAATTAAAAAGAGAGACGCTACAAATTACAAAAATCTAAGGTTTTCAATCACGATCTTCTAAAAAAGCCACACAAAAAACCCAACAATGGAAATAAAAATGAAAAATGGAAAACAAGACAAGTTGTTTCTCATACGTCAAACTGTCATACGTCAAACTGTCAATCTTATAACATGTCAAGGAAACCTGGAAGAAGACACAATCCGCCCAACCCCCAGCGGTGCCACAAGAAAAATATCTGGCCCCTTGTCCAAGCACTTTACTGTTACTTTACTTTATTTTTCCCATCCAGCAGCCATCTGGGTTCTAGCCCTTTGGCTTGTCAATATGGAAAAGAATTGACAGGTTTTTATCAGCTGTGTTTTGTCGTTGTTAAAAGAATTTCCGATGTCTGGGGAGGCAGGCAGGTAGGTAGGTACTACACAGGTCGCTAAGTGCAGGGCAGTCAAAGAGGCGGTGTGGTACTGTTTCATCCTGGCAGTCACACAACGGGCAGTCGGGTGGGGTATCCTTGCGAATCCCATTTATGTAGGAATTTAGTGGGATGTGTTGTGTTCGCAGGCGAAAGATCGCGACTTGTTCTCTTCTACTCAGGGAATTTAGTGCATCTTTAGAGTTGGGGGCTGTCATGTGTGCAAATACAGTTCTTCCAGTTTTGCCCATTGTCCATCCCAGGCTTGTCAACTTTTGAGATACTGAATTCTGGAATTTTGATTGCGCCGGAGCGCCACGATACACACTTCTGTGATAGGCTACGGAAGCTACTTAAAACAAAAATCAAATCACTGCAACATAAAATGTGTCACGAGGCGTTGGAATCAGTCGCTTGTCAATGTTGGGGGGCACATGGAGCTTTAAGTATCATCCTAATAATAATAATAATAAATAATAAATAGCATTTGTATAGCGCATATCCCCACTCAACAGCAGGCTCTATGCGCTTTACACTATATTATTACCCCGGCAGACCATAGAACACCCCGAAACATTCTCAGCTTCCCGGGAAGCATACAGTGAAAGCAGCCGATTAAGCGCTCAAACACTATCAAACTGACAAGATTGTTCACTGTCTATAGCCGGGTACCCATCCCCACCTGGGTGAAGTGAGGAAAATTTGTGCAAAGTGCCTTTCCCAAGGACACAACGTCGGGCCCCTGACGGGATTCGAACCCACGACCTTACGGTTGCGAGTCCGAGAGCCTAACCACTAGACCACCTACAGCTTGTTTGTTTCTTCGTGTTGCTTTTAATGAACAAAGTAAGCATTTATCCTGAAATAACCCTTCCCCCCCCCCAACCCCCAAAAAACCCTCCACCCCCACATCTCCCATAAAAAAAAACAAGAAAAAAAAGCCCAATTCTCACCGGGAAGTAGTCCGGGTCGTCGTTGCTCAGCTGCAAAAATCTCTCCAGTCTGGCACTAGAGTGCTCAGGGCCCTGGGGGGGACAAAAAAGTTCATTTGGAGTCAGAAATATTCATTCGGCAAAACAAGACATTTCTTTCAATTGGAAGTAAGGAATATTACATGTGTGATACTTGCTGACAAAATGAGTTATTTCTCTGACTTGAGCCTAATGGAAATAGACACATCACGCTTATAGGTGAAGTTTGTACACTTTATGAGTATGAAATGATAAAAGGCATGCTATACTTAATGAATGTGGTTCCAATTGAAAATCTCCATCTCCTGAACCGTCTGATCCGTGTTGAGGAGACAGTAAACCGTGCCTTCAACCCCTCAACTGTGTCCTACCTCTTTTTAGCTTTAGTAAGAGTTTTACGGCACTTTCAACACAATAAGATCATATAAGCCTCGAAGATTAGAGGCGTCAGAGGCGATACAAGAGAGTAACTAACAAAAAAGAAAGAGGAGAAATAAAGACAACAGATGTTTGATAGAAAGAAAGAGCAAACCACATAAGAGCACTTGCCAACCACCCACTGTGTCCTACATGTACTCACCATGCCCTCAAAGCCGTGGGGCAGCAGTAGCACAATCCCCGACTGGCGTACCCACTTGGCCTGACCACTACTGATGAACTGGTCAATGATGCACTGGGCCGTGTTGGCAAAGTCTCCAAACTGGGCCTCCCAGATCACCAGAGCGTTGGGGTTGGTGATGGAGTAGCCCACCTCAAACCCTGGGGGGAAAGGGGGGGGGGGGGGAGTTTCAGTAGGAGTTTTATGGCACTTGCAACACAATAAGGTTATATAAAAGCCAAAGATTAGAGGTGTTACAAGAGAGTTTAGTTTTAGTTTTAGTAAGAGATTTACAGCATTTGCGACACAATAAGGTCATAAAAGTGCCGCTGAAGATTTGAGGTGTTACTAGAGAGTAAGAAACATAAATAAGAAAGAGCGGAGATAAGGACGATAGATGTTTGATAGGAAAGAAGGAGCAAACGACACCAGAGCACCCGACAACGACCCACCTCAAACCCTG